TTAAAATTTTTGATAATTGAGTATCTTTTCTTGAACTGGGTGGCTCCCAGCTTCTTTGAAAAATTAAATGGTTTTTCATTAGTTTCATTTGCTTTCTACTCTAAAGCAGGGGTGTCAAACTCGATTTCATTGAGAGCTGCATCAGGGTTGTGTCTGACCTCAGGGGGCCAGGGTCAGGGGTGAAATGCTACCAGTTCAAACCAGTTTGGGAGGACTGGTAGCAGAGATTGGGGCTGGTTCGTTGTACCAGTAACAATTACTTGGCTGACAACATTCCCAAACCGGACCACAGCCCACAGCCCTGCCATGCTTCCCTGCCTTCTATGCGGCCTTCCCATGGCCAGCTTGCAAAGGTAGGCAAGCGGAAGGCCACGTGAAAGGCAAGCAAGCATGGCAGGGCTGTGGGGAAGGGAGCTAGCAGCTTACTCCCTTCCTAGCGTGCCTTCCTTCCATGCGGCCAAACTCATTGTTCAGAGCATCAGCCATCTAAGGAAACGTCTTCCAACTCTTCAAGATCAACTTTAAGAGCGCCAAGAAGCCAACAGCAAAAGTAGCGACAGCAGGGGCGACGGGGCGTGTGTGTGTGTGTCCCTCCACGGTCCTCCTCTTCCAGGTGACAGCCAGGGCTTCGCTGCCTCCTCTTTTCCTCAGAGGGACAGTGTCTGCCTCCAAGTCCTTGCAGAAGGAGGGACACCCCCCCCCCCACACACACACCCCTGTTGCCACCACCACCACTACATTTGCTGTCGGCTTAAAGTCAATCTTGAAGAGTTGGAAGACGTTTCCTTAGATCGCCGCCAAACTCATTGTTGGGAGCGTCAACGATCTAAGGAAACGTCTTTTTACACCTTCTCATCCCCAATCCCCCCCCCATTTTTCTATTTCTGTGCCTGGATTCTGCTAATTACACCTTTTCCTCCCAATTCCTCCCCTTCCCCTCATTTTTCCATTTCTGTGCCTGGATTCTGCTTCTGCAAGAGAAGGCTCCGATGTTAACTTGGGTGGTGGAGGGAAACTCAAAGCATTGGGGGCTTCAGAAGGGCAGAATGTGCTTCAAAATGTGCAGTTCCTGGCTCTGACTGATGTCAAGATGGCCACACCCACCCGGTCACATGACCACCAGCCCATCAAGCCATACCCACAGAACCAGTAGCAAACATTTTTACATTTCACCCCTGGCCAGGCTGGGTGTGGCCAGCTCGACATCACTAATGTCGGGAGCGCCTTTGGTGGCCCAAGCACTCTGCCACCAAAAATGGAGCTAGGGAGGGCCATTCTTCTGAACTCTGTTTTTACTGGCAGAGGGTTGCAGGAGGCCATCGCAGCTGAAAACGGAGCTCAGGAGAGCTCTGTTTTCGCTGACAGAGGCACGGAGAACAGTGGCCTTGAATTTGACACCCCTGTTCTAAAGTTCTAAGGTTTATTGAATGACTTTTGGCCAGTCATTCTCTCTCAGCCTAATCCACTTCATAGGATTGTTGTTGTGGGGAAAATAGGAGGAGGAAAATGTGCTGCCTATGTTTGCTGCGTTGAGTTATTTGCAAAAACAATAAAGACAGGATATTAATAAAAAGAAAAATGTCTGCAAACATAGTTCAATTAAATTTTGAAGCAATCACAATTAACAGAAAAGAATCAAATAAATGGATATTTACTTCTGACATCTACAATATATTATTAGTCAATTAAAATTTTTCACAGTTGATCATATTACATTATACTCAAGAGAATTCTAAGAGGAATTCCCAATTAAGGTGGTTCTATCTGGTTCAGGCGAACCAGTAGTGACGGCTGTGGGAGGCACCGCCCACCCACCCGGACGTCATCACGCCCTGTTTTTGATGCTCTGCACATGCGTAAAGGTGTCGCACGTGCGTGCGAAGAGAGTGAGCACACTCACATTTGCGAACCAGTAGCGAAGGTAAGTAAATACCACCCCTGATTGAGACATCATTGCAAGGCAGATTGTGCCCCTTCTTTATAAGAATACATGTACAAAAGGGGCACAGCTTTGTATTCTTAATATCCCAAACTCAGTTTTACAACAGCTTGCCAATCAAGATCAAAAACCATCTAAGTAAAACTATATTGCAATAAATTCCAGAGCAAAAGGGAAATGCTATTCACAAATGCATTATGGAAGGAAATAAAGCTGACATATAATTAGAAACAGAAATGTAAAAGGCGCTAAGAAATCTAGAGAAATATAAACTCATCAGCTAAAAGATTTGCCTCAAATTGTTTTGCAGACAATTGTTTTGCTTTATGGGATGATCGCCTGGAGTGCTATGAAAAGAAGGGACACTGCATGCAAACTTTTAAACTGCATTTGGCCATTTTCATTAGAAAAACATGAATGTTCTGTCTTAAATACAAATTTTATTTATTTAATTTGTATACTAACTCCCAACAGTTCTGGTGTCCCAAGTAAAATGCCACTCCGCACTCAAAACAAACACAATAGGAAAAACAAGAACAAAACATTGATTTTTCTGAGCAATTTTCTTCCCGTAGGCTGTAGCAAATTGTGCATTTGTGTGATAGGCTGAAAACTGATGAATATTTCTGGAGTAGTTGGGATTGTATGGAGGTGCAGCAGCAAGACACACACAAACAGAGAAACCAACCATCATTGTTATTCTGATTGATCCCACTTTCAAAACAGAACACAAAGTGGATACAGAGAAGCCCTAAAATTGGACTCTTTCACTATTCAAGGAAGTAAAGCTGTGGAGATGTACCTGTAACACAGTGGTGGCAGACTGATCCCATCCATTAGGAGAATATACATATCATCTATGTTATAGTTGATGAAGATTTTATCTTCAGAAAAAATAAAAGAACTACGGTACTTCAATACCAGTATCATTCAGAGTAACTTAAGGTTGCCTTAGGCATGAATTAAGGGGCAGATGAAGGCAACATCATGACAATATGGTAGAGAAAAGAGATCGCCACATAATGGTAGCTAGTGAAGTTTTACATTGATACATTTACATTTAGTTTGAGGGATTTTTTTTACAACAAACATTATTTGTGTGTGGGGGGGGAGGGGATTTGAATATTTTTTACAGTCACTCTTGAGAAGCCCTTTATGATTCAAAAAGTAATGAATATACATAATTTAGTAACAAGCTGATACCCTCTTAACCTCACTGCCCAACTGATCTAATTCATTTTTGCAATCGTGATTCATGAAATCTTAAAGTAGTTTTAATACTCAGAAATGTATACAAATGTTACTTTTTACCAAACTGAATTAAAGACAAATTTGAATCTACAGAGCCAGACCTTGTTCTACCTAGAAACAGCAAATCAAAAGTAGGAGGGAAATAATTTAATCTTTACAACAGTGCCTCCTCTGGGCCAAAAATGTCAGCTAATCTCTGTGTGGGCCCAGTTCATTCAGAACACCTGCAGGAAAGGTCAAATTAGCAATCATGATCAAAGCATCACTGCTTCGCTAGCTGCGCAGAAACATATAAAAAGAGGCCTTGGCTTCACATTGTAATCTTTCTTGCAGGCACACCTGGTCTCACAGCGGCTAGTTAGTTAACAAATAAGTGGTGTAGGAAATCTTGGAAACAGCTTTGAAATGATCAGGCTGTCAGAATCCGGAGACGCTTTTGTTATATCTGATGATGAAGGCAAGTATTACAGGCTAAGATTAGTTTAAGAAGAGGGAACTAAAAATATGGAAAACGTGGCAGACTTGCAGTGTTGTTACTATACAGTTGCCTATTTCAATACAATATATTGCTACTCATCCCATGGAGTCAGCTTCCTGGTTTGGTTTACCTTGCAGGTCTGACAAGTTGTAATTAAGCCAAGAGGTTCGCCCCATCCTACATTATTAACTAACATGGTTTATTTTTAGCTGAACATTTCTCTTGGTAGTCAAATGCCAACTGCAGTGCTTCCAGGGATCTTTTCTATTTAACTGGGATCAAGGCCCATCTCATTTTCTCCCAAAGGTTGTTTACCAAACTGGACTATGTTGGCTTGTTCTTTGAAAATGTTTCTCATTCAAGAAGTTTCTTCAGTTCAGAACTGAAGAAGCTTCTTGGATGAGAAGTGATGGGTTTTCAAGGAAAAAACCAATAAAGTTCAGTTGCCTGGAAAAGCACCTTTGGGACAACCATAACTTGGATGACTGAGAACCTCCATAGGTATCTCGGTTTCTTGGTACTATACAGAGAAGAGCAGAAGGCTTTCTGCCAATACTTGCAGGAAATCCTAATATAGGTTTAACCAGACATTGAGAAGCTGGAATTAACTTGAGTCTTGGAAATATAATTTTGTTGTTAGTTGCGAAGTCGTGTCCGACCCATCGTGACCCCGTGGAAAACGTTCCTCCAGTCCTTCCTGTCCTCTACCATCCCCTGGAGTCCATTTAATTTCATGCCGGCTGCTTCAGGGGTCCCGATGGGTCGAGGACACGACTTCGCGATTAACAACAACAAACTGGAATTGGAAATGATGAAAAGATTGTAGATCGCAGAAAACCTGGGTTTGAAACAAAAAGTAATTGCAATCAGAATATTGAGGTTTGTTTCACACTGGGGAAGATTTCTTTATTTCACACGCTGACTTTATCGACCGGAATAAATATTTTGTAAAAGGGGAAGAAATGCGATGTGCTTAACAGTGCTGTTAGAAACGGGGGTAAAAACAGAATGGTGACCGCGGTCCATTTTATCCAAGCTTGTTTGTTACCGGCGAAGCGGCAGCCTACTTCAAAGGGAGAATCTGAGCATGCTCCCTATTATCTATAACTGAACCTGTTTCTCATCGTTACAGCTTTGTCGCTCACGCTTCACATTACCTTGCAACTTTTCTCTCCCCAAGCATAAACCATGTTTTGATGTAAAATAGTAAATGGCACAACCCAGGACCATCTCGGCCCTTCTTGTTTTACTGTATTTACATTTGTTTCACATCCGTCTGCAAGAAAAAAGGACCCCAAGTAAGGGCAAAAAAAAGGTGTAGGGCTTCAAAATCTGCCACCGCGCATGCTCGCTCCTATCTGCCTGGTGAAACTTGATGGGGAGCTGTTTGTGAGCCCCGAGCTCAGGAAACCTGCGGAGCGAAAATAGTAATAATAATAACCTTGGGCGCTTGGAAATACGGTGGAAGCGTGTTGCTTTGACGCGCTGCTGGTAAGGTCTTATTTTGCTGTGGCGACGTGTTGCTCAGGGCGGAATCACGAGCCTGGTTTGCGATAGTGGGGGTGGGGGTGGGAATTGGATGCCAGCGCACAGGCGCGCGCGCCATGGTGGCGATTGGGGGAAAAGCTGCGCGACATCGGGAGAGAACCTAGTTTAGGTACGTGCGGAGAGAAACCGCGGTCCAGGTGAACGTGGTTTGCTGGACAAGGGTGAAAGCAGCCCGTTTGGCACATAATACAAATAAAATGGCTGTGCGCTGGGGTGGGAAGTCTTAAAAACACCTTGGCGATTTGAGCTTGCGTGCCCCAAGCACCTTGGGGAATAATCCTCTGTGAATGCAACAAGAGTGGCTTCTGAGTCATCGCGCAAAAAAGCATCGGAGGAGACATCTGCTGCCATTTTCCTCCTATGGTGATTTAATTCTGGAGGCGATGGCTTGGCTTTGAGAAAGGGCCCTTGTTGTTTGATTCCCCGGCTCCTGTTCCTTGAATTCCCTCTCCCAGCAGTCCATCTTAATATTGTTTACTTGTAATGCGAGTTTCTTGCTCGACTTTAGGGCTGAAAGAAGCTCTGTCATCCGAAGAAGTTTTTTTGTAGCAAAGAAACGATTTACTCCGGGGAAGGGGGGGCGGGTTTAAGACTGAGGTTTATATAGTTCTAATTTTAGTTTATTTAGAAATCTGCTGATCTTAGTAGACTGGGTTATGAAATCATGGTTCCTGTAGTCTTCCTTCTCTCTTTTACTGGGTATAATTCCCCAAACCTAAAATTATTTCATAAAGATTATAAACCACAAGGGAGTTCTGGGTTTGCGAAGTGGACTCATAGTGATTATAGCATTATTGCTTTCCATTAGTTAAAATGCATAGTTAAGAAGATAATTCTGTCAGAATTTATCTACTTCAATGGGACAAAGAGAGGGAAGTCATTTTTAGGTTTCCTCAGTTACTTGGAGGCCTTGTATGTTTCAGATATGATCTTGATTTTATGGCTTTTGTTAACTTTTTATATTTTTATAGCTAAGGCATACTTTGAAATGACCTTTGGTTCAGAAATGATCACTGCACTGCCTCTTCCTTTGCTTCTTTAAATCAGAGTTAGTGCTTTCCCCTCAGAACATAAAAGTAGAAGGAAAAAAATCCTCACAATTGCAAGACATCAGGAGATAATGTTTTTCTGCTTACTTAGTTCTGAATCTACTTTAGCTACACATTTACTTCATACATCAATGTGGACAATATCATTATCTCCTAGTAATTGATGGCTGGAAAGAGAGGAAAGGAAGGGACAAGAAGAAAAACTCTTTTGCTGCTAGAGTGCAAACCTACCTCCCCAGTTATGAAAGATGGATTGGTTATATAATGAGTGGATAGTGCATATGGTCTCCTCCCCTTTTCAAGAAGAATACCATTTCCCAATGCTTAGATAATGTAGGTTATCTGAACCCGGTAGTCTATGTGGGTATTGGGAATTAGGATCTTTCCATACCTTAATCTGCATTTGAAGGTGATATTATAAGGCTGAGCTTCCACAGGTGGCAGCATGATAACCTTATTTTATTTTAGCAGTTAGGAGGCCACCCAATTCTGATGACTCCTGGTGGTCACAATTTAAAAATTGAGAACAGTATTAAAAAGAAAAAAATTATAAGCAGTCTTAAGGCAGACATATAAAGAAAATAGCTCAACATACAAGATTGTTGGGGTGTGTGTGTGAAGAAATAGGAAGAAGTATTAGGCATGTTCACTACGTTGAGTTAATTATAAACATAATAAAGATACGATATAAAATAACAATAAAAGCTGGAAAGGTTGGGGACCGCTGTCCTCCAGCGTAGAAAATATGCTTATCTTCAGTACATGGGTTTTAACTGTATCAACTGTAACATTGTTGCTTTCACTTCGATTAGCATGCAGCAGGGATCTAGCAGTTCTTTGGGTCATACTTTTGTGTTACAACACAAAGCAATTTGTTTGGTTTCTGTTGACAATGTTGTGTGAATCCAATTATAGTGATTTATTAAACATGGTTTGTGGCAAATGATGACAGTTTATTTAGTAAAATATATTAAAGGAAATTATGGCATAGCCCTTCCTTTTATAGGGTTATTGAGTGTTTTCTATGAACTACCACTGGATAGCATATATGCTGTTAAAATAAATCCATAGAATGTAAAGTACAGTCCTTAGGATATTTATTCAGAAGAAAGTTTCATCAAATTTAGTATATGCGTGGGATTTTAAACTAGTTTTTTGAAACTAAACTTGTATTAGTGGTAATTGATACCAGTATAAATAGACCAGGTAAAAGTATAGGAGAGTAGCATCAATAACAATTTACCACAATAGATAGGGATATTTGTTTTCTCTACCAACTGCATATTTTACATGCACTTATTCTCAGAGGACATAGTTTTGAGTGACTAATGCCTAGGACTGTGCTGTCTAATCTTATAGCATTACTCTGTGAAATTGTGATCCTATGAGGGAAGGTAAACCAATTTCATATTGCAGCTGAAGCGGTATAAAGCAAACTTCTATCTAGAATTATCAATCTTTGGAACAAGCCAACTCTGTGGCTTCCATAGCCAAATCTTTGATGCCAATAAATATCTTTAATATAGTACTTGTATATTAGTGTTCTTGAATACCTAAATATAGTATAAGCGTAATATAAATTACTCATACGATATATACACTTCATAAATAAATAAAACCGGCTGCTTCAGACTTGTGCAAAGTCTTTAGTAATTTTTTTTCTTTGTCTTTATTAGGTGAATCTGGGGGAGACTCCAGCCCAAGCAGGCTCTTGAGATCAGTAGCGATAGGTGAGAAATTCTGGGTAAAAAGGGAACAAAGAAATAAATGCAGGGTATAAATGAAAATTTGAAGCTTATAATTTTGTGGGCTAACATCCGTGTAATGCCATAAATGTATTGTTCATTTCCTTTAATGCCACTAGATTGTCTTGTAGGAAAAACACGCTGAGAAAAGTACAAAACATCAGGTTATTATAAGTAATAAATACTAGGTTTGTCATGTCATAATTTTTTCCTGTTCTTTCTTGAGTGCTATTTCAGAGCAGACTATATCATTTTTCATACCATACAAATAACTTTGAAGGAGCTTTTCCAAGTCAAACAGGTAACTTGTATTTAGGCCCTTATGAAATCTCTTAATGCTCATATTTATACTCAGACTATTAAAGATGTCTGCCTACTTCTATAGGGGATTTGGGAATTGTGTAACCTTGAAATTTACTGCACTACTAGTGAAGAATTCAGGGAAGTATGCCAGTTAATGTTTCTGTGAAAGATTGCCAAATAGTGATAATCACTTTTTAATTTGAAGTATTTTCCAAATATAAACTATTTTTCTCAGTAGAGCTACAGGAAACAATCCCAGTTGTCTAAAAATGCATGCTTGACACTATTGTGAACCACGGTTGATTCACAATATTTTCTGGAACTTGAGAATGGAGAATTCATTATGGGAAAATTGTGATTAATTTATTTGAGACATAACTCCAGAAACATAGCTAGACCATAGTACAGAATTGTATTTTAATTGTGGTGGCTTCTACATTTTGCTATGTTCTATTTTTAAATACTAATGAGAGATACTGTAGAGGTGCACCTGAAACTTAAAGAGTTCTCATTTGGAAATCCACCATAAATTAATACTGTTTTTTTCAACTGTGTACTTAAAATTTCAGACTTTGTTGCAGCTTATAACCACATAATTAGTTATTTGTTGTTGCTGTTAAATGTATTTAAAACACAAGTTTGAAAATATAGAAGCAAACATAACCCAAGTTGAGCAAATGATTTTTGATAATGTTGTGTTCTTTACAAGGGAATAGTTTTGCAATCCCAGGAATATTTCAAATAAATAGATTTTATGAGGTCTGTCATAATATTGAACCTAATCAGCTGTAAGTCATAGGCTACCTGTGTAGAAAACTTGTGTTTTTTGTTTGTTTGTTTGTATTGTTTTATGAACAATACTTAATACAGCCTACAATAGTGAAAAAAATTATATCATAGAAAATAGCAATAGCACTTAGACTTATATATTGCTTCACAATGTTTTACAGTCCTCTCTAAGCGGTTTTCAGAGTCAGCATATTGCCCACAACAATTTGGGTCCTCATTTTACCCACCTCGGAAGGAGGGAAGGCTGAGCCTGGTGAGATTTGTATTGCCAAATTGCAGGCAGCTGGCAGTCAGCAGAAGTAGCCTGTAGTACTGCATTCTAACCACTGCGCCACTGCAATTCATGGTATTATTTATAAATTTGCTTGGTCACAACCTGTTGCTATTTCACAAACGAGTCTGAATTTTTTAATTTGTTTTTGACTTGGTGGAAATTCTCTTTCTGCAAGAGTTGTCAAAAATTCTATCAATATTTCTCAAAATAAATCCTGCTGCAATAAATGGATTTAGAGTCTAGGGTTTGCTTTTATTAACTTTTTTCTGTCAACAGACATGGGGAAATCTCTTTCCATGCCTTTATCTGGTTTGAAAGATGATGGCGCTTCAACCTCTGATAACATGAAAAGTGGATTAATGCACTCAGACTCTCATAGTGAAGATGGAAAAAATGGAGATGTATCACAGTTTCCATATGTTGAATTTACAGGACGAGATAGTGTCACATGTCCCACTTGTCAGGGCACTGGGAGAATACCACGTGGTACGTGTAAAGTTGGAAGCAATTTCTGTGATGGCTACAGTTGTAAATACATCTTGCTTTCATTTGCAAATCTTTATATTGTTTTCTTAAGATAGCTTATCCTTGTATATAATAATATTAGTATAAAATTTACTAGATTTGCTTTTGCTTTTTTTATTTTGTATTCTATGATACAAACAATATAAAATCACAAGTTATACAATCACATTCATTATAAAATTTCCAGATAATATAACTATTTTAGAAAATTAAAATATTCCAGAAGATTCAATTTTAGTATTAGTTTTTACTGAGCACAAACTTGATTGACTTTAGAACCTGAATTTGGCTTATTTCTATGTACATAATGTTCTTAGTCAGCTATACTAGAACAAGAAGCAGAAAAAAAATAGAAATTATATTGTACATTAAGGGTTGCTTTAAACATATTCTCTGCTTAATCTGTACTCTTATTGTTTTGTGGCAATAATGAAATCAGCAACTGAAGTGTTAAGCAACATATTGGTTAAGTAAGACATGTGATTGCTACTTGCAATATTATGCTAGCTTCTCCATTGACTCTGCTTGTCGGAAGCCAGCTGTGAAATGCCCAAATGGCGATCACATGATCATGGAATACTATAATGATCATAAAGATACTTTTTCAGCACCATCATAACATCTAATGTTACTAAACATTAAGTGAAGTCTACCTATACTAATGTGTACTAACCTCCATATAATATGCATTGATTAACAAGAACTTTCAGCAATTATCAAAATTACAGTATTTTAGTGGTGCTGAAAGAGGATGTAGCTGTTGAGCAAACCTTTGAAAGGCAGTGATTTAGAAGATGTAGTTTCATAGCTTGTTATAAAAAAAACTGTTTCTCCTAAAATATTTTATGTGACAGTTTCTTTTAAAATACCTGCCTTTCGATTATATTGTTTTTGAAAAACATTGTTTTTTTAATTTAGTCTGTGGTAGATGTGTATGTTATGCAGACCTTTGTTACAGAAATTTCAGCTTCATCAGCATATCATGTGGCATGTTTTACTGGCTTTATAACAGCAGCAATTGGGTGTAGAAATGACAGGATGCTGGATTATATTCCAGGACAGGAAAATCAGCTTGTTGCCCTGATTCCCTATAGTGATCAGAGACTGAGGCCAAGAAGAACGTAAGTTACAATAGTAATGACTGTATGTGATATTGGTAAATTCCTTTAAAGCTAAGCTTTGACTAAACAAATCTACTATCAGAAGGTTTAAATTAATACTTTTATGCTTGCCTCTTAGCTTTGGAAAATATTGCTCTATACTAATAATCAAAATGCTTTGTGTTAACATAGCCTACAAAACGGGTTGGGCTGCATTGCTTGAGCTGCTGATGCTTGTTATTAGCAGAAATTCCTATTAGGTTTGGAGCTTTGCCATGTTGCACTGATTTGGTTTGAGGTGGGAGGGTTACCATGGGTTACAGCATTCTAGAATTCCACCTTTTCTATCTTTGTTAATCCATACTCATGCCTTCATTCTCCAAATATTAAAAACCAAGAGATTGCTGGGAAAATCGTAGATGCTGTAGGGAAAGAATGCACTATGTTAATATTGATTGTGCCTGCTTATTGCTTTTTGCCTTGGCAACTTTGCTTTGTTCTTATTAATTCCCTGGAGATTAAGCAGAATGAGGAATGCATGCATGCCCATGTACATGTGTCTGCAGGCAGATTTCAAAAAATTGCAATTAATCTTAGAATGGGCACTGGAAATACATATTGATTGGAGCATGTCCAATAACTAAAAATTTATGCAATGGAAAGGAAAGGTATAAAGATAACACTGAAACTTTAAAAGAGCCTCCCTTTTTTCTGCAGAAAACTTTATGTGACTGCTTCTGTAATTGGATGCTTACTACTTTCTGGGCTGGCAGTATTTTTCTTATTTCCTCGATCTGTCGATGTACAATATGCTGGAGTCAAATCAGTATATGTCGATTATGAAGCACAGAGACGCATAATATACTTAAATATTACGGTAAGATCTTAGCTGAAAACCTTTCACTTCCTTCAATGGTTGATAATTTATATTGATGTTTAAGATTGTGTTAAAGCATCATTTAATCTAGAGTCCTGGATTATTTCTTTTGCAGAATACATTGAACATAACCAATAACAATTATTATTCTGTTGAAGTTGATAACATTACTGCCCAAGTACAGTTTGCAAAGACGGTGATTGGAAAGGCACGAGTGAACAATAATACCCACATTGGACCACTGGATATGAAACAGGTAAGAATTACTGGGAATCATATAGCATATCACAATTATAGGTAGTTTACAGATAGTAAACTACAACAATTAGGATTCAGAATTTCCATTGCTAAGCAACATGATAGTAAAGTGCGATGCCATGCATTGCTTAATGCCAGCAATTCCAGCACTTTCCAGTTACCATCATTAAACAAGGTCATTAAGCAAGGACATCACATGATTGTCATTTGTAGAAATACTGCTAGCTTTCCCATTGACTTTGTAGGAAGTCAGCAAATAAGGGGGCAAATGATGATTGGGGCATTGCAATAACTTAATCGTGATCCAAGCATCCAGATTGTAGTTGTGACTGTGTGAATGCTGCTCCCCTCAGAAATCTGAAGACAGGTCATATATGCCATTAGTTCAATGCCATCGTGAGTTTGAATGGTTGCTGAATGAATGGTTATTAAGCAAGGATCACATATATTTGATAGCAGTTTTCTAGATATTTATGTTCTGACTGTTTCTGCTCTTGTTTTTCCTTTCAGATTGATTATATGGTACCCACTGTAATACAAGATGAAATGAGTTACATGTAGTAAGTATCCTGTGCTTTCAGTTTCAATGTATGTTTTAATATTGTAAACTATCCAGAGTTATCTTGCAGTAAGATGAGCAGCCAATAAATTTAATATATAAAATATGGGTACAAGATGAGAATATCACATCAAACATCTCTTTTTTGAATAAAAGGATTACAGTAGCCTGGAACACAGTTTTTTCTAAATGCTACTTTCTTATCTTTCTTGGTTCTGTGTGCCCCTAAAGGATTCAAGTTCTGGCTAGTAGAACTGCATTGACATACTGTATTGATATTTGAAAGATTGGGATTGATATAGCACAGAGAATTTTTTTAAAAAATGTTTCTCACTTTTTTCTTTTGGGGGTGGGGAGGAAGGGCATAGGTAGAACCCTAAACTTTGGTTAATGAATGTCTGTTTTCCCTCTTTAAGGCACCTGCAAGGAACATGTTTTGTGTTTTGGGTTTTTTGTAATAATAAATGCAGGTTAGGATTGTGTCTTAATCTGGACAATGTAATTTAGACTACAGTATTAGATATGGATTATTGAAACAGATCAACTTTCAAACTGTTGCAGTTGGGTTTGTTTATTTATTTATTTATTGGTTCGATTTCTATGCCACCCTTTTCCGGAGACTCAGGACGGCTTACAATGCGTTAAGCAATAGCCTTCATACTTTTGTTTATACCTGCTTAGTAGGGCTTTCCCCCCCCCACAAGTGGTGTTCTTTTTTATACAAAGTCAGGTTAAATACCCCCACAAACCGGGTCCTCATTTTACCTACCTCGAAAGAATGGAAGGCTGAATCAACCTTGAGCCTGGTGAGATTTGAACTTGCAGTAATTGCAGGCAGCTGGTGTTACTTAACAGTGCTTTAGTCTGCTGTGCCACCAAGGCTCATTGCTTCGCTAAACGGTTAAGTTAATCACCTTGGCCTTTTGGGTAAGATCAAGTGTGTGTATATGTATAAATTTAAGGAAGTTCATTTGAAATTGATTTCAGGAAAGCTTTCATACATGTAATTACTATACTGTACACTAATATGTTTTTCTTACAGCGATTTCTGTACTTTAATCTCTATCAAAGTGCATAATATAGTTGTCATGATGCAGTAAGTATGTATAATATTTTCATTTATGGGAAAAGTTAACTTCCAAAACACTTGTATTACTACAGAATATTTTTAACAGTCTAGCAGTTAAGATTCTTTTCTTATTCTGTTTTCATGAAGAGAAATAAGATCTATGCATGAGTATTTTCATAGTTCCTTTGAACTAGTAACAAGAAGCAAGTTAAATGACTATAATGAAATCCTTTTTAAATTTTCAGTATGATTTCTTAACCTGTCATATAACAACAAATGTGCTGAATGAAATTGAGGACAAGCCAAAGACAGCTACATCAAATTGAAGAAACTGTTTTTCTCACTTAATGAAATTAATGGTAACTCAGTGGTAACAACAACAAAAAAGACCCATGTGTTACACATGTGTCTTTTGGGGTTTAGCACTTATAAAATAGTAAAAAAAAAAAAAAAGATGCTTCACAGCATCTAATAATGGGAATGAAGCATCTGTCTCTCTTTAAATCATTAAGCCACATATATTAAAGGTTCATGCAGCCATTGAACTCTTCCTGTTTCTCTGTACTCTAGTATTGTATTATACATGAAACAATTGGGAACTAGGTTAATCTGAAGGATTAATGGCAGGCTGAATGTAATTCAGAAGTTCTGAATTAGCCACTAACATTGCAAATCCTCTGAATTAACAGTTATTCTAAGTTATATTATTCATCTATTCATCTCATAATTTTTTCTTTCTTCTGAGCAGAAAGTTTTAGAGATGACATAAATATGGCATTTTGGAGCACCAGAATTGAGAAAATAATCTTTTATTTCTTAATCTTTCTTATCTGCTAATATTCCTAAACTTTTGTTTACAATTCAGTTTCTCCCCATATCATTAAACAAACACAAAAGTCTTGCTCTGTTCAATAGAGCAAGATCTGTTTCACTATACTGAGGTTATAAAAGAGAGTTAATGTCAGCTTTTGTATATTTGTGGTATTAACTATTATTTTTGTATGAGTAAATATTTAAAGTTAGCAATTGTGGACTTTTACTTTTAAAAATATACATGTTCTTCTAAAATCTTTCCTGATGTATAATATATGTACATATCTCTCCCTTTCTATTTTGTTATAAAGAGTGACTGTGACCACTTCCTACTTTGGCCATTCGGAACAAATATCTCAGGAACGATACCAATATGTAGACTGTGGTGGAAATACAACTTATCAACTGGGACAGACTGAATATCTAAATGTTCTTCAGCCTTTTCAGTAAAAGGACCAGAAATTGAATGTGCAGAAAGAAAAAAAACCCACGACTATTGTTTTTTTCATTTCTCATCCAAGTTGAAATTTTAACTATACATGATACTGCTTAGAGGTTGATGTACATAAAGTAGCAGGTTGGAAGGTTTCCTTATTTTTTGTGATGTAAACAAAAAAAAAAGGACAAACTGTATATATCCATACTTAATAACTTGCACCTTTCTACTCTAACTGTGAAAGTACTGTGTCAATCCATTAAACCGAGGGTAGCAGGAAAGATAGAGAACAACATCTTATATCCATTAATTTTTGCCTATATGCAAACAAGGATATGTTACTCTCCCAGCACATGTTTTTGTATTTCTTAGACTAATGATAAAGTAATTTCAGAACTTGATTGTTTTAACTGAAGTCTAATCTGAATATTCATTGTATAGAAATAATTTGCGCCCCATTGTAGCATCAGATGACACATGCTTGTGTAATAACCTTAGGACAGATCAATGTTTACATTGTTGGCATTTTGTTTGTTGAAAATTGTTTTTCAGGTGAAAGGTTTTTCATTTTTCACAAGGTCCAACAATTTGCTTGAAAACTTGGATGGAATTGGAGAAATAGCACTTGACTTAGACACATTTGGTGTGTGCTGCTGAATAAAAAGAAAAAAAATTAAAAATGTCTTTTAAAAACACAAAAAAAGCTATTAAAAACTATTGAAAATGCACATGTCTCAAAGACTGACTCTATGAAAATATTTTAATGTTTTTGGTTACCTTTAAACACTTAACATAGATCTATCCTTTTTTTGGCTTACATCATAGGTACCTCTCACTGAAACATATAAAAAGTCCCTGAAAATACAAAGTAGCCAAGCATATGTTTTAGATAGGAATAATAATTGATAAGAGCTATGCTGGAAAGAATCTCACATGGGTTTAATCTGATTTTTTATTATTATGCATTTTTCCTAAAAGGTATGTCACCTGTGTTTGATGTGATATTGAGTGGCATAATTTTGAATCCCATTTAGCAATTGTTAATGGGAAATGTCACAATAATAGCTATATTTTTTGCAATTCATTCATTAACTAGCTTTCGCTGGTATGAGATAAATACAAGCTAATGGTTTGAACTTTAAAATTAACTTCACTAATCAGTGCTGTTATAGTTACAGAATATTGACTCCTCTAATGGAAAAAGTTATTAAACTTAAGTTTGAAGGAAAACCTTACTAATAACGAACATATTTTCCATTTGTTTGATTCTTGAATTTTCATCACCATTACTACCATTTTTAAATTAACACAGAAAATAGCATTCTGTTAATTACACAAATAAGTATAAAATGTAGTCAGAAAATAAACAGGTAACTTCAAGACTTACACATCACTATGTTAACTAAAGGTTTCATTGGATTTATGTTCTACTTCGCAAGCCACAAATGTTTAGGAGGGAAGATGAGGGTAGATGGATAGCAGTAAATGGTTTTTATCATTTTAATGGAGCAGAGTAATTATTTTGGATTATTTGGATTAAAAGGACTGGTGCAGAAATTCTTCCAATTGTGGATTTTTACAAATCTTCAATTTGGTTAGAATGTTTGATAGCATTACCTGGAAACGGTTTCACAATTTTAATACATCACATTTTGGTAGAATGGAAAATGAACTAAAATAAAATATCCACTGAATTGATTAATTGTATCAAAATCCAATTCCATTATTTGAAATTGTCTAGTACACATTCTAAAATTGAGACACAGTATTTAAGTAACATCTGTTTTTCTAAAATAACAGTCCAAGAACTGTCTTGTGATTACATTTAAATGTATGCCTGGACTTAAAACATTAATTTTATTGATACAAATTGGGGCAAAATTAATATATCACAGCCAGAAAACAAGTGACTGAAATATAGTAGTGTTTGCACTTCTTAATGGTGCATATTAGCTAGAGGCTTATTTCAGAAAATAACATTTTATGAATGAATTTTTATATTACTTACATCATGACACTTCTGCATTTTTAAACTTCTATGATTTATGTGAAATACACATTGCTATATTATCCTGTAATTGTACATTATTCAAGCAAATATGTTTGATTAAATCCATGCACTCGAAACAAAGAACAGCTTTTTATTTTTTACATACAAGGATGTGGCAAAGTTTAGGATTTGCATATGCCTATTCCATAAAAATAAGCCATTCGTTCTAGCCCAGTATTCTCTATTTTTGTGGTCTTCAATTCCCAGAATTTTCAGCAATGGTCATCCTGGCCATGTTAGGAAAAGTTCATAACTTGCAGTCCCAAAGGTGCTTTTTCAGGAGGCAACTGGACTTTCTTGTTTTTTCTTTGAAGATGTTTCACTTCTTATCCAAGAAGCTTCTTCAGCTCTGATGGGAAGTTGACTGAAGAAGCTTCTTGGATGAGAAGCAAAACATCTTCAAAGAAAAAACAAGAAAGCCCAGTTGCCTCCTGAAAAAGAAACTTTTGGACAACTATGACCTGGATGACTGAGAATCTCTATAGACTTCATAACTGGCAGGTCCTCAATTGAATGAAGTTACATTGAGCCATAATTTAGCTTCATATTTGATACAGAAAATTTTCAGACTCTTCAGAAATGAAATTGAGAGTGTGAATAATATACTTGGAGAAAACAAGTAATTATGAAGGTTATACAACTAGCATTAATCCCTTGCTGAAGAAAAAAGTTATTTATTGTAATCTTATTTGTATCTTGAATGTCTTGGTTCTAAAGTTATATTTAGATTCGAAATGTTACCATAACCCACCCTAACTCCTATGGAAAAGAAATGCATTTACAAAATTATAATTACAATATTTTTTAGCATTACAACTTGTTTCAAAGAAATAACTGTGGCAATTACTGTTTTATCATCTGCTTAGTTGATAAAAATTAGGACAGTCTTATAATTTTTATTAGAACAAATTAACTTATTGAATTGACTTCATTTTTAAAATCCTCACTAATTAACCACTAGTGCTCGTTGTATAAAATGTATATAATTAATGTCTAGAAATGCTAAAAGGTGGTAACTATTTTTGTAATGATGAGAATTGTTCTTGGTTCTGTAACTGTGGCAGAGTGTGAAGTATTTGGCAGCATGAAAAATAAAATATCTATATGCTATTGTCAGTTTTGGACCTAACTTTAGAGACTCCAGAATGGCTAAACTAGTATCATTTAAAAGCTGTATTGTATAATTGTCTTAGAACTGAATCAATTAAATCAGAAATAAACATTTTTAAGGATATATATCTTATTAGACTGCTTTCTATCTGGAGCATAAAGGAATATATTTTATACACTCTTTAATTATAGGAATTATATTCGCCTATATTCTCTTGGTCCCATTAGAACCATTCTAAAAATCTTCCGCTGATGGATTGATTGTGTTAGTAAGCCATCAGAGGTGACTGTTTTAGACATTGCAGAGGAATAAATTTTATAGATCAGAGAGTGTACAATGTCTCAATTTCAGAGAAAAGATTGCCTTAAATTGAAGAGGCAATCCAAGAGTTTAAGAGAGGGTACTTGGAATTTCTTCCAGCTTCTCCTTGCAAACAAAAATCTGAAATAAGTTGGGCTGAAAGATAACTGGCCCAAAGTCACTCCGTGATCTTTCATATCTGAAAGCAAATTTGATCCTGCATATTCCCATTTCTAACTCAGCAATTATAATACGGTTGGTTCTTAAGAATTGTTTTGTAGTGTGTGCAGGGTGAGAACAGGAGAAAGGTATGTGATACAATGTAGAAAAGAAGTTGGAAAAGAAGTCACAGGCAATTTCATTTGTCAAAATATATTATGCCTTATTCTAATTGAATTCTCTACCAGTTTTCAAAGGTGGCTGGGTAACTGAGCCAGTCACACAAACACAACACAACTCATTTCACAATCTGGTTGTTGGGAACAAAAGGAGCAGGAAATATTAGATATATTAGGTGTCTTGTGTTATTTATAGAAATGATAGTGTAACATTTAAAGAAAATCAGCCTCTTTTAGATTGCCAAAACAAAGATGAATCCTCACATGAAACTCTGTGGCTCTGGCTTTAGATTCCCCTCTTCAATTGCCCTACTAGCTGATGTTTGTGGAAGTTACAGTCCTAAACATCTAAAGAACCTCAATTTCCTTACCTCATTATATAGCACGACTACCATATTCCAGTGTTTATATAGTATTTATGTATTATACAGGCTGATTTTTACAGTAGCTGCTTGGATATGCTGTTTGTTTTGGCAAAAATATTCAGTAGCATATTGGTTCTCAACTACTTTGAAACTCATCACATTTTGATGTGAAAACTATGTCCTGGTACTCATTGTTTGTTTGGTACTCAATGCACAAGCTAGAACTTGTTGATGTCGGCTGCCTTGTGTTTCACTACATTATTCCTTATGGAGAAAATTTGTTCAGTAGTCATCATTTTTGGTATTCATTGTGCCTCCCGGAACCAATTAATGATGAGTACCAAGGCACTAGTGTATTTATCTTAAGAAGCAGTATTATATTTTGGCAAAGATTTCGCCCCCACTCCCCAAAAGGCTTTAAGCATTTTAATAAGAGTTTTTTTTAAATCTTAAATTGTGGCATTATTTTAGGATAAGCTTCATAACTGAATACTAATATTTAACATATAAAAATGTTGCACTCCTCTTAAATATATTTAAAGGAATTAATTTCAATGGTTTTATTTAAATCATATATCCTAAAACACATTAAAGAACATTATAACTGGTGCAGGTTCCCTAGTGCTCTTTCTAAAAGCAGATGCTGTGTGATGAATTTTTATATATACAGTAAAATTACTCTTAAATAATGTGTATTTTTGATCATCCAAAAGGTGTCTTATTGTACATAATAGTGATGTGCACCTTACTGAAAACCTGCAAAGACAGAATTTAATTTATTAATTTATTACTATAAATTTATTTATTTATTTAATGTTTAGTGCTACAAAAATAAATGTATTTATTTCTGAAACCATTAGAACAAATAAAGGAGTATAATGTAAAAAATGGAGAACTTTCTGGCAAAACTCTTGTATTTTTAAAATTGTGACTAAATTAAGGCATATTATATGTAATAGCATATTTTGAACTATGTATTTGCACAATTTTTATAAAACCATTCCTTGCCAAATCCTAATTACAGCAAGTGGTGGCATCTATCTGATCTTTGCAGATGTTTAAAAAAATTAAGCTGAGTTTGATTTGGTTAATACTTGGATGGAAAATCACAAGGAAATTCTGAGACTAGAAAAAATGTAGAAGTAAACAAGACAAAATCCCAACGCATCCCAAAAGAAGAAAATGGCAAAGCACTTCTGCAACAATGTTGAAAAAATTGCATGACTGTCTCTCAGTAGTCATTGGGAACTAAACCCACTCACAGAAGATTTTAAAGACTTATTTTAGAACTGACAGTAGAATGCTATTTTATTCCATGTCTATGCTGTGTTTGGGTTTAAGTTCATCATACCATTACTACTATGCCTCTTTTCAACTGATTAATCAATTAAATGTCATCTAGTTATTGCCAACTCTTAGCAACCACATAAATGTTCCTCATGTTGATTTGTCTTAACCTAGTCCTAGCAATTCCAATGGTTTACTTACTGCTACTGCAACAGAATCTATCCATCTGGCTGCAGGTGATCCTCTTCTATTTCTTCCTGTACTTCCCAGCATTAGA